TCATAAGACTAGGTGGAGCATTCGCCTCAAGTTCAACATGTCCAGAACCAACTCAATTCCTTTTTGCCTGTCCCCATCCATGTTGGTCCAAACTTGTCCCTACTGCCACTAAATAGGAAGAAGGGCAGCTTCTGTTTCCTTCGGTAAACTATCCTTCTCCTGTTGGAGTAGTCTACGAAGTGTGGTCCCCGGCTAGCAGCTTCAGCATCGCTCAAGAATTTGTTAAAATGCAGATGCTCAAGCCCCACCTCAGACCCACAGATCAGAATCCCTGAAAGCGTGGCCCGGAATCCGTGATTTAATAGGCCCTCAAGGTGAGTAGGATGCACGTTCAAGTTTGAGCATCACTGTCCCAGCGATTCATTTTCCCACACCTAGAAGTAGAACTACTGGGTGGGATTTGCACATTTTAATCCTTAATACATATTACCAGAGTAACCTCCAAAAAGTTGTGCCAGTTTATAATCCAGTGGCATATATGAATATGTCAGTTTCCTATAGCCTGACCAACACTAGAATCTGTTTTTTTATATTAGTAAGGCTGAATTTGTGTGTGTGTATGTGTGTTTTGGCACATTTTGGTATCTCCCCCTGACCCCCAGTTATTTATAGTTTTTATTTAGGTTTCTGTCTTCAGTAAATGAAGGTGCTCTTCACCCAAAAGTAAAGACACAATTCACCTTGTTTTCCCCAAATAATTAATATATTATCCCAGAACCATTTATTAAATCTATCCTTTTCACCAGAGGTTCCAAGTACCACATATATCATGGTAAATTCTTGCATCTGTATGTTTCTGAGCTTTCTTTTTCTTCCGTGGAGATGAAGGCCCGTGTCTGTCTGGTCCGTTGCCCCAGGAGCTGACTCACAGTGCGGTGGGTACCGCATGTGGTTAACAGATCATCTGTTTCTTCCCGCACCATTGCTATGTTTTTAAATTACTGTAGCTTTACAATCAGTATGTATTATTTTTATGTATTCTATGTTATTTCTAAATTTTCCTAGGCCAATGTAAAAAGTCTTCTAGATGAGCATCAGAAACATTTTAAGTCTAAAAAAAAACAAAATTTAAGATTTCGATTAAAATATTATTAAATTTGTGTTCTATTGGAAAGAATTGTTACCTGTAACAACATTGTTTTACTATCCAGAAACACATAACTTCTCTATTCAGTTTATTTGTTTACTTATTTTTATTCTAGTCTTTCTTCCCTTAAAGGGTATAATAATTTTCCAAGTAATTCTCTTGGGGTTTCTAGGTTTTTATCTATAAATAATAATTTTGTCTTCTTTCCAGGATTTATTTCATTGGCCAGAGTTGCCACTGTTAAGTAACAGAGGAATATAAGTGACTTTGATTTTTTTTTTTTTTTTACGGTGGAAAGTAGGGCCTTTAAACTGGAAGGCCTGGAGGCAAGATTCTCTGCTTAGAGTTGAAAGGACAGTGATTCAGGGTGAAAAGAGGTAGAATAAAGAGAGTGGCTTTGAGGATTTGTGTTTAACACCTTGAATAGCACCTGTCTTTATCATTTAAGTGACTTCATTTTAAATCACATCGGTACCCAGGTTGCTGCTAGGCCTGAATTAAACCCCAGAGCCAGCAGTAAGGACACAAAACTGCCTTTCGCCAGTGTCAAAGTCACAAGGAGTACTCTGCAATCAAGCTGCGTGGTTTTGGAATTTAGCGTTTTTATTTTTGGTGTGGATTCCTAACTTGGAATTAGTGCTTTCCTGAGTACATTATCTTTGAATTCAAAGCGTGATGTATTTCTGGATTTGAGAAATTACCGATCCTTTTGGTCAGAGGAAGAAGGAATTGTGGCAAAGAGATTGGAACTAAAGCCAGAACAGAGCACCACAGAACTGCTTCATGTGCTAAATAATTTCAGTGTTTAGCATTAATGGAATTTGTTTTACTATCTCGGCCTGATTATATAGCAGAAGCGATGTACGAAGATCCTGTTACACAACTTGGGAAACTGTTTATCATGATACAGGATTTAGAATGATTGAGAGTCACAGCTATATCACCAAAAACTATCAGTAAATCTTTCTCTCTAATTGCTGTGGAGGTTTGCCCTCTTCTTACTATGTCATTTTTATATTCAGCAGCACAGCTCATTTGTTTGATTGAGTTGTGAATAGCTAGTAATTACTTGGGGGAAAAAAAAGTGTGAGCAGCCCTCTAAGTAAAGTTGGAAATAATACAATAGGTTTGTTGGGCCTTGGACTTTATTTTCAGCAGGCCTGGCCTGCCTGGCTTGTGCACTCCGTGCACGTTTTATCAGTTGTTTCTTCCACGCGGGCGAACCTTACTGGTCGTCGTATAGCGTGATTTTTCTGGCACTGTTCATCTTTTTGCCACAGTTGTGCTGTTGCCCTGCTGGTTTCAGTTTGTTGATTTCTTTCTTGCCCTAACTGCTGACTTTGTAGTTACTTCCTTAAAAACTGTGAATTAGAAACGTGAAAACTGGTGGATAGTTATGCCTGTGATTCAGGCGGAAAGGTGTCCTGGCACACAATTTCGACTGGTGGTGTGTCACCTGAATGACAGGCCTTGGGAGATGGAGCCCGCTAACAAGATAAATTGATGCGAATGGATGTGTTCTTTGCTGAATTATCAAATATCTGATATTACCTTGGGTTTCCTTTTATTCATAAATCTTCTGTTTAAACAAATTGTTTGAAAACTCCATTCCTCTAACTCAGATACCATGTAAAGATATGAAGAGTTTGAAGGAAGGATTATTGCTACGTAATGTGAGATCTTCGTCACTGTTAGTAACCAAAGAAAGGGAAAGGGAAATTAAAGTTATTGAGAGAAAACGGGAGACAAAGGTCAGCAAGGATGCAAAAAACCAAAGCCAAAGAGTTTAAATAATTCGATTTTAAGATGTCAACTGAATGGCAGGAACCGTCTCTTTCTTTTGCACATGGGTGACTTTGGGTAGTAGATACTCAGCACGTGCTGTTGAGTGAACCGTGGTGAGACTGCCCACCGGTCACTTACACTGGCAAACGCTGCGATACGCCCATCTTCCTCCCGTGACATCCTGTAAGTTACCGGTTGCACTTGGCTCTGTGTCTGGATTATATCATTAATCTCCCCTCCTTTCTGTTTCCATGACCACTGCTCTGTTTTACCTTCTCCAAAGAAATGCTCGTCTTTACTTCCTAATGATTTTCTCTCTTTTCACTAAAAGCGTAGACTCCACACAACCATCAGGATTATTGGTCTGAAACACAGATGTGATAACGACACTCTCTAGTTTAAAAACCTACAAGCGCTTCTCATTACAGCCAGAAGTCCAAACTTTTTAGGTTGGCATTCAAGACTTTACAATCAGATCGTATCCTACTCCTTTTTTCTAACCTACTATAACTCTGTTTCCCTGCACATGCTAGCCAGACGGTATTCCTCAGAGTTCCCTAAAACCTGCTATAGATCAGTGCTCATGTATCCATGTTTGTGCATTATATAAGCTGTTTCTTTCTCCCTCTCCTGGGCTCAAGTCCTGTAAGTTCCAACTACAATACACCTTCCTTTTCTGAAGTTTTCCTCTGTTCCCTTTAAGCCTCAGCAGAATGAATGGTTCCCTTCTCTGTGCTCCATTATGCTTTTTATATACCTCCTATTAAACTCCTTTTCACCTTGTTTTATAGATTATCTTTGAGAATAGATTGATTCCTTGTGGATACAAGTTTGTCCTAATATCTATCATTTATTTAGCAAAATATCTGGCACATAAAAAGTACTCTGCGGGCCAGGCATGGTGGCTGATGCCTGTAATCTTAGCACTTTGAGAGGCCTAGGCAGGAGGATTGCCTGAGGCCAGGAATTCAAGACCAGCCTGGGCAACAGCGAGAGACCCCAGCTCTACAAAGAGTAAAAAAATTAGCCAGGCATGGTGGTACGGCCTGTGGTCCCAGCTACTTGGGAGGCTGAAGCGGGAAGATCGCGTGAGTCCAGGAGTTTGAGGTTGCAGTAGTGAGCTATGATGATGCCACTGCACTCTAGCTTGGGCAACAGAAAAAGACCCTGTCAAAAAAAAAAAAAACCACTGTGCACATCATCTCATTTAATCCTCATAACAACTAATGAGGTTGATGCTATTAGTGTATCTTCCTTCTTTTGTAAATAAGTAAGCTGAGGTGAAATGGCTTCACAGCCAAGGCAAAACTTGAACCCTGACCCAGATTCGTCCAACTTCTGAAGGCCACGCTCTTACCCATTTTGCTGCGTTGCTCTCTCCACGCCTCTGATCGGCAGTGCCAGCTCTTCAGTAAGTGCTCTCCAAGTGCTTATTCCCTGAGTGAGTGAGAACTCCCTTCACACGGTAGTTTGGGCAGACTGGTAGTATGGTAGTGTATGCACCATTCACAGAAATGTTTTTAAACCTTCAAAACACGTACAAAAAATAATTCAACAATATGTTGTTGATTGGGTCTCAGCAACGTTTGACTTGGGTAAAAAAGCTTCGGTATCTAAATATGACTGGCTTTTGTGACATAGAACATGGCCTGGTACCACACAACTATAAAACAGTTTGAACTGATTTCTGGGACACTGCTGCCCCCTTACTTCTGTCTTTATTATGAAAGTTCTCGTTAAGTCAGACAATCTAATTGAATTTTTACTGGCATAAGCCAGTATAATGCATGGAAGCTCTAAGATGGAGGAACGGTTAAGATTAGCAAAGTCTGTGGCAAAAAACAAAAGTGTATTTTAAGAAAACCTATTAAGTTGAAAAATGCTTTAAATGCCATATATTTTAGTGCTCGTATAGATAAGTACAAAGTAAATTGTCTTTTCTTTGAGTTATCTTAAGGGTCAAATAGTAAATCGGAACTAACATTTAACACTTAAAGATCTTGAGAGTGAATGTTAGCAAGAGATAGTGATTTTAGTTAATTTTTTTGTCATCTAATTTTCCTTATAAACTTAGTAAAATGTAGTATAGATTTGATTTTGTAACTTTTCTTTTCTGTTATTTCTCTAGTGTTGTTAATAACGATACTGGTAGTGGAAGGAATCGCAGTGGCCCAAAAAACCCAAGGTAAAGTACTTACAGTGATAACGTATCGCATGTTCGGAACAGCGGCTGGCTTATTTGAAAGGACTGCAGCTTTCCAGTGCTATTTCCATAATCCCTTTGGGACGTTCCAGGCTTTCTGTCAACCTATCAGCTTCAATTTAACTGGGTCCAGCTGCATTTAACTAGAGTAAATTGTCGACATAAAGTCTTGCCCTGATAAATTTTTAAAATTGGCATTACAAGTAGCTCCTAGCATGCTGTGAATTATGTCCAAAAATTAAATGAAATTCATACTTTATCACTAAGCAAAAATAAAAATCCATTTTTCCAGTGTAAACAAATGAGACATTTCCATCAGTATCTTATTCAAAGCCTTTCGGTCCTGTTTTGATTGTCCTGATTTATGAAAGAAAATTAGTGTGATTTTTTTTTTTTTTGAGCCAGATTTTCATATCAGCATTTACTCCATTTCTAATATAACCTTATTTATCTTTTATTTTCATTAGAGTTACACATCCACATAAAAATCAAGGTATTCTAAAAAAGTAATTAGGAAAAATCATCCCCCCATTTTACTCTAGTTAACTTCCTGCTCCATGGAAACAATCATTCTTTTAGCTGATTCTTTTGGTATTTCCCTTGATTTCTCTAAATAACACGCTATATTGGTACTTCCCGATTATTTCAGTTTTAGACATTAGATACTGATCTCTCACGTGGAAGATGGAAATTTAGCTCTTTCACACACCTGCCATCCCCCCCCTCCACACACATGTTCTCTGACCTTCCGTGTGCCACCCTCTCGGGATAGTCATGCCATGATTCTGGTTAAATCAGTCTTCAAGATTTACATTAAGCCACTCATTGAACTTTTTCAATGTGAATTTTGTTTTAAGTTTAGGGAATTTTTTTGTTTAATTTTTAAAATTCCCTTTCCTCCATTTTCTCTGTTGTGTCTTTTTAGGAATTCCTATTATTTGGTTATGGTCCTCTAGTTTTTTGTTTTTAATCTTTCTGTTTCCCATCCCCCTTTCCGCACCACGTTCTTAGAGACTTCCTCAACTTTATCCTCTAAACCAGGAATTAGAAAACTTTTTCTGTAAAGGGTCAAATAGTAAGTATTTAAGATTTTGTAGGGCATATAGTCTCTGGAGCAACTACTCTTCTGTCGGAATGTGAAAGCAGCCGTAGACGGTGCACAAATGATGGGTGCAGATATACTCGTGTTTCGGTGATATTCATTTACAGCAACGGGCAGCAGGTCAGATTCGGCCCAAGACCATAGTTTGCTGACTTCCACTCTAAATTTTTTAATTTATTCTATCTTTGGAAGCTTATTTGTTTGTTTTCTGAATGTTCTGTTTTTAGAATATCCTTGTTTTTGTTTTATAGATTTGTTTTTCTGTCTCTCTGAGGATAATAAATGATAGTTTAGTTTTGTGTTACTGGTTTTTTAATATTTATCTTACCTAGTCTTTGCTCTTGTTTTGATCTGTTTTTCATATTAGAGACTTTCCTCAAATGTCTGGTGATCCTTGAATGTCTGCTTACATTTTAAGAGGGGCACTAAAAAGCTGATCATTCACTGTCCGCAGGTGTAGGCAGGGGTGGTATACTGTGGCCCTCACTGTTGAGTGACCTGACATGGGGGAGTCCCTGAGTCTGTATTGTTAAGGCTGTTTAGATTCCCCAGAGAAGAATCTTTCCATTTCCTGCTTAAAGGTTCTATCTCTGAGGGGGCCTTTGGGGTGTTGATTGGGAGAGGAAGACTGGAAGTATCATCCAGTGTGTTAACATTTACTCATCTCTCCTTTTTCAGGTTGGTATTTTTATCCTCAGCTGGGTCTCGTGTCACCTAGTCCAGTAACCCTGTTGTTTAACTTTTTCCAAAGAAGTAATCTTCAGTTTTCTGATGTGGTATTAGAGCAGATTCATGGAGTAGGAAAGGGTGGTATTAGAAATCAAACTGGGCCGGGCGCGGCAGCTCACGCCTGTAATCCTAGCTCTCTGGGAGGCCAAGGCGGGCGGATTGTTTGAGCTCGGGAGTTGGAGACCAGCTTCAGCAAGAGCGAGACCTCGTCTCTACTAAAAATAGAAAGAAATTAATCGGACAACTAAAAATATATAGAAAAAATTAGCCGGGCATGGTGGCGCATGCCTGTAGTCCCAGCTACTCGGAAGGCTGAGGCAGAAGGATCGCTTGAGCCCAGGAATGTGAGGTTGCTGTGAGCTAGGATGATGCCACGGCACTCTAGCCCGGGCAACACGGTGAGACTCTGTCTCAAAAAAAAAAAGAAATCAAACTTATTTCTAAACACTGTCAACCAACTTCATGTTTTTAGAAAGCCCATTTTCACACGCCAGCCCTCACCCCACTTCTAGTAGTGCCAATTGTTACTACTATTAATATATCTACCCCTTTGTACTTTGGGGTTTATGCCCTTAAAAAAAATCCTTTCACTGTTGTTTAAGTGGAGTTTGAGGAGGAAGCAGAGCTCATGCATGTATTCAGTCTACAATCTTCAACTGAAATGCCTCTGTAATCTTTGAATCTTGACTGTTGTGTTAAACTAAATGCGAGGATACCACATCAGAAAGTAACTCCTGGATCCTTTTATTTTTATGTCAGAACTGAATTTCATGGAATTTTACTGATTTATCAGCTTCTTCCATGTAGTTTTACCCTTGTAAAATCCATATAAGCATTTTATTTCCCTGTTCTCTTACATGGCAAACTTGTACTCTAGTTGCAAGTTTTTCCAGCTTAACTGGAAAAAAGACGTGCTTACCTTCCTTTTAACTTCTGCTGTACTCAATTTGTGGTGGTAAATTTGGCAGTGTTTCTTACAAAATTTTGTATATGTAGCATGGAGTGGGCAATTGTTTGGAAAGTTGTGGGGGAAAGAAAAGAGTGATATTCTCTCTTGCTGTAGTTAATGTTTTAAATGATGTTTTTCCCAAAGATGGACAAAATATTGGAATCAAGCACATTCCTGCAACCCAGTGTGGCATTTGGGTTCGAACCAGCAATGGAGGTCATTTTGCTTCACCAAATTATCCTGACTCATATCCACCAAACAAAGAGTGTATCTACATTTTGGAAGGTATTTGACCAATTTCTGTCTTTTATTGGATAAATTTTTACTTTATTGTAAAATTAAATGCATTGGTAAAATGCCCTGTTTAAGCCAATTTGAACAAAATTTAAACATGTATTTGAATTAAACTCTGTTAATGATAAATATTTCTGAATATTGAATACATTTAGCAACATAATTGTTGAAATTTCATGGGAATTTTGAATCTCCTAAAGTATACTTCAACTAGATGCATCAGTATATATGAAAAACCTCTTTGATAAGAAACTTACCAAAGATGCCGGCATCCCTTTTAAGGCTCTATGCAAATTTAGCTCCATATTAGTGAGTTCCTTATTGTGGGAGATACACTGCATTTCATGAACTAAGCAGTAGTTTCCTGACTTTGTGTTTAATCAAGAAACATTCAGCTAATTTAATAAGTTGTGTATGTCAAAGGGAAGGATTACTAAAGTTCTACAGAGTAACATTATTTGTGTAAAGTATAACATTTAGAATGATTCTTATGTAGTAACATAACAGTCCTCATCTATGAAGCAGTAACAGAGAATTGTTTTGCTTTTCTCATTCGTGTCAGTACATTTATGTTCGTTCTTATTTGTGTTGCTCTGATTTGCTTATTCTTATTTTCTAGCTGCTCCACGTCAAAGAATAGAGTTGACCTTTGATGAACATTATTATATAGAACCATCATTTGAATGTCGGTTTGATCACTTGGAAGTTCGAGATGGGCCATTTGGTTTCTCTCCTCTTATAGATCGTTACTGTGGCGTGAAAAGCCCTCCATTAATTAGGTCAACAGGGAGATTCATGTGGATTAAGTTTAGTTCTGATGAAGAACTTGAAGGACTGGGATTTCGAGCAAAGTACTCATTTATTCCAGGTAAGGAATCGGTTATCTTTTTAGTGATTGGGTATCTGGCTCTTATTTTGGAACCTTAAGGTTGGAAAAGAGATTAATTTGGTCAAGACTTTAAAGAAATTAGCAAGGTCAAAAGGGAATCAGTTCATGAACAAATAAAAAGTTAATGAAAACTGGAAATAGAACCATGTCACTTGAATTTTGAAGCGTATCATAGTGTCACCTTTTTTTCTTAGATTTCTTTCAGTTTTATAGCACATACTCAAGGCCAACATCATCAAAGTAAATACATTTTTTAAAACAATTCAACAAATGGTCTTATTTTCATAATCCCCACAAAATTCTTTTGGCAGGTTTTTCCTTATTGAGCTGATTGAATTACCACTCATTTGAATAAATAGTCTAGAAAATATTGAGCAATATAAAAACTGCTCTGCACTCGAATGTAAAAGTTCTGGGTTTGAATTATTTCTCTGCCACCTAATAGCTATAAAACTATTAAGCACAGAGTTATGGTTGAGATTTGCCATTAGTAAAATGGGAATGCGTGCTGTATTAGTTTCCTGAAGCTACCATGACTAATTGCCACGGATTTGGCCACTTAAAACAATAGAAATTTATTTTTTCAGAGTTCTGGAGGCCAGAATTCCAAATTCCAGTAGAGCCTCACTTCCTCTTGGACCTCTAGTGGAGAATCCGGTCTTTGACTCTTGTGGCTTCTGGTGGCTTGGGTTTGTGGCCACATCACTCCAGTTTCTGCCTCCTTCTTCACATCTCTTTCTACTCTTCTCAAGATCCTTAATTTAATGCCAGTTTTTGCCTTGTAATATTTGCTTTTTTAAACCATATAGGGTAATATTTACGGGTTATGGGAATTCAGATGTAGCTATATTAGGGGAGGGAGCTACTATTCAGCCTACTACATTGCCTCACTACCCCGTGGTAGGTGAGAACACTTGGAGCACTATAAAGCCCTATCCAGTGTAAAAGTATACATATCCTTAATGCAGAAACGTAAAATCGTACAAGTTACTATTCTGTCTTCAGAGAGCTTACAAACTAACAAGATGAAAAAATAACTGAGTAAAACAACTATATGATCTTTTTGCTTTTATTTCTTCATGCAAGCAATTTGTTAATTGAAAAAAGATTTTAACTATCCAAATAAAAAATATTTGTAATCCTACCACCCTATATATAAAGTCAGTGTTAATAATTAGGTGTGTTTTCCTTCAGATGTTTTTCTACATCTATTAATTTTGTTTTAAAAAAAAATGGGATTATTGTATACATACAGCTTTGTTACCTGTTTTTGCCTGGAAAACATAAACAACTTTTTTCCCCCATCGGTAAACATTTTGGAAGTTTTTAATTTTTGCTTCACTATTTATCTGCTCAATGCCAAAAGGATAGCATTTTCAAAAAGCAAAGTTTATTCAATAGACTTTGCTTTTTTTAGAAAAGTTTTAGGTTCACAGCAAAATTGAACAGAAGTAGAGTTATCTCCTTCCTCCCCACAATCAGCATCTTATACCAGAGTGATACATGTGTTTTAGTCAATGAACCCACATTGACACATCATTATCACCAAAGTCCACAGTTTATATTAGGGTCCACTCTTGGTATTATGTGTTCTAAGGATTTGGACAAATTTATAAAGACATGTATCTGCCATTACAGTGTCATATGGAACAGTCTCACTCCCCTAAATAGCCCTTGTGCCCCACCTGTTCATCCCTCTATGCCCCTAACCCTCTGGCAGCCACTGATCTCCTTACTTTCTCCATGGTTGTGTTCTTTCCAGAATGCCATGTAACTGGAATCAGACACTCATGCATACTGTAGCCGTTTCAGATTCATGTCTTGCACTTAGCAACATGCACATAAGGATCTTTCGTGTCTTTCCGTGGCTTGGTAGCTCATCTTTTAGCACTGAGTAGTGTTTCATTGTCTGGATGTACCACAGTTGTATCCGTTTGATTGAAGAACATCTTGGTTGCTTCCACATTTTAGCGATTATGAATAAAGCTGCTGTAAATATTCGTGTGCAGGTTTTTGTGTGGACATGAGTTAATTCATTTGGGTAAATTCTAATACATGCAACAACGTGGATGAACCTTGAAACATTATGCGAAGTGAAATAAACCAGATACAAAAGGGCAAATATTGTACGAGTCTACTTATATAAGGCATCTATTCATAGAATAGAATTTGTAGAAACAGAAAATAGAATGGGTGGGTTTCGGGGGTCAGGGGAGGGAGAGTAGAGAGTTAATGTTTAATGAGTCTAGATTTTCAGCTTGGGAATGATGAAAAAAAGGTCTGGAAATAAAGAGTGGTGATGATTGCACAACACTGTGAGTGACTTAATGTGACTGAACTATACATTTGAAATGGTTAACACGGCCAATTTTACGTACAGTTCACCACAGTTAAAAAGGAGTGGCTAGCGAGCTGTTTTTTCACAACGGCCGGGAAAAGAAAGATGACTGGGCGCGATGCGACACACGGGGTGTGCCTTGCGAAGTCGTTCACCGGAGTTTAAGGGCCAAGAGTTTACATCAGAATAACTCACTTGATTAAATTGGCCAGGTATTTGGTTTACATTAACTGAATCAACTAACTGAAGTAACTGATACACTTTGTGTAACCCGTAAAGACACCTTTACAAAATCTTATGCACGAGTTAGATCTTTGTAAGTAAGTTTAGGCTACTTAAAAGAAAAAAGATGTCAGAATAGGGCTCTTATTTGAATCATGTTTTTAAAACTAAAAAACAGCCAACTTTATATGTAACGATCCTTATTTTGGAGACAAGTAGCTCTTTTTCCTCTGTTGTATATATCATGAGAGCAACCTTATGTGGTTTATAGTTAAAATACAGACAGAGTATACAATGCCTAGTACCTTTCACATTTGCATTTTACAGTGCTCCAGAGTTTCTGCGTACATTATACATAATTTTATGCTAATGGCAATTTCAGGAGAATTATGTAGTGCTTCATTTTGTAGGTGAGGAAACTGAGTCAGACATTAAGTGATTTTTCTCAGATCAGATAATGGCAAATCCAGAGCTAGATACCAGTTCTCTAGGCCACACTTCCTCCTCTGTCATACTGTCTTTATATAGTATAGATGAGGATTCTCAATTTTGTCACTAAAAGGAAAAAAACCAGCACGTGGCAAAACAAATAAGCAATGCACAATTAGCTAACTATGGCAGTATCTGCTGTTATTTAAAGTCACATTTATAAAATAAATTTTGACTAGAGGGTGGTAAATCTGGAAGAAACCTATTTAGCAATGGTGAGAAATTAGAGAATAAAATTCTCTAAGCTATTGGTGATATGGAAATTTTGATGCAATAATGACAATATCCTAGAAATCTTGTCTATGTATGAAAAAATTCTGATTAACTTACCAGATAGCTCCTATGACTTTTTTCTCCCAGT